GCTGTTACATGGGTGTGTGTGTGGGGGGATGTGTGTGGGAGTGTCTGTGTGAGTATGTGTGTGTGTGTGTATGTGTGTGAGTATGTGTATATGTGTGTGTGTGTGTGTGAGTATGTGTGTGTGTGTGTATAAATGTATGTTGTGTATCGGTATGTGTGTTACTGGAGAGAGGAAGATCTTTGAGTGTGTGGCATCCACTCAAGAAGAAAGGTAACAGTGTGATGAAATCTCTTTCCTGTGCGGTAGTGATACGAGACTTATAGGTTGAGTGCTTGGTATTTTCTTGTATTTTGCTGAGTTTTCATTTCATTGTATTTTGTTGAGTTTTCATTTCATTGTATTTTGTTGAGTTTTCATTTCACAGGAATTTGTTGAGTTCTCGTTTCGCAGGAATTTGTTGAGTTGAGTTGTTGACATTTCGTTGTATTTAGCCGGGTTGTCATTTTGTCATATATTAATTGATTTGTGAGGTTGTCGTTTCGTTGTATTTTTGCAAGTTGAGTAGTTATCATTTCACTGCATCTTGTCCTGTTCAGTGGTTGTGATTTCAGTATTTTCAGTGTATTTTGAACTCTGGTAAGTTGTAATTTCGTTGTATTCTGAATTCTATTGCATTGTTGTATCTTCGTTGTATTTTGAATTCCGTTGAGTTGTTGTAATTTCGTTGCATTCCGAATCCCGGCCAATCAGGCAACACGGTGGAGACGTGGCAGTTCTCCCTGCCTCCCTGGCCGCCTGTACGTGTGTGGACTCAGCCTTCATCCCATCGCTGGTGCCCGCCGTGCGTCTGTCTGTCTGCGTGGGGGGTGTGGAGGTACAGCTGGCAAACCACACCAAGTACAACAGCCAAGGTGAGAGCTTGAGGACTGATTAGTCGATGTCGTTACGCAAGTCGGATATTATGATATATGAGGCACCGTGTTGAAATCAGGCGCTCGTCAAAAATAACGAAATCCAAGAAATCTGCATTTTTTTGGCCGTTCTACTTTTCTTTATTTGGCTCAACACTTTTTATGTCCATTTAAAAACATGTTTTTGTGGTTGATTATACTTGAAAACATAAATTAAAGGCACAAAAAATGTAAATTTTCAGTTTCCAAGGACTCTCAGGCAATGGAAGTTACCAAACATTGGCGGCTATTATCCCCAAAAATGACGAGCGCCTGATTCCACTGCGCCGTGACACAAATTAATCAGTGTCTGTTACACAAGTCAGTTTGGTAGTGGTGAATTGTGAATACAGTCAGACCTGCTATAATGGTCACCTGTATATATGAGGATCACCTGTACTAATTGCCACTTTCTCTTTCCTCCTTTGCCTTTTTTTTAAAACAAACACAATTATGATAGTGTCTAAGACAGCCTCTTTTCTCCCCAACAATGTGCGACCTCAGTGCTTTCTTGTCCTATCTCCATTTTTAATATCAGTGAAAACTGTTCACAACAAAGACTGAACTTAAGAAGTCACATTTTTACTTTTTTTATAAATGGAGATACGACAAAAAAGCCCTGAGGTCGCGAATGGGAGGCTGTCTTAGACCTTTTTAACTGTACATTTAGAGATAATTTAGCTTTGAAAAACTTGGAAGGGCAGCACACTCTAGCCTCAGATATATGTGTCTTTAGTAATCTCTTCAAATGTACTCGGCCCAGAAAGCAACATTTTTCAGGAGAGACAGAAAACAGTTTCATTCTTTTTGTTCGTTAGTTTTAGAAAAGTTTTACGGCACTCGCAACTGCGTAAGGTCATATGAGCGCCAAGGGGTGGATATCAACAGAGAAGTCCATAGGAGGAGTCAGACTTTGACTGCTCACCTCTCTAGCCTCAACAGCACAAAGTCTGCTTCAACTGTCAAGGCACCCCGGAATTAGCGGGTCTCCAAGAGAGACAAACATACAAAAGAAGTAGAGGAAAAATGACGATAGTAAGGATAAGGAAAGAAAAAGCAGCAGTTCCCCCTATGTTGTTCCGGCACAGTATGAGCATGACATTGATATATCAGCCCATTTACAATTCTACTGTGCCTAAGAACATGTTAATATTCCCCCTTTGGGAATGGCCTAAAGACAACTTCAGTCAGTAGCACTGCCCTGGGGGGGTTCATTCTTTTAAAAACTGTGCCTACGTCATGTATCTTATCTTGCTTTTTTCAACTTTTACAATTTGAATTTTAACCAAATATTTCCTTAGTACAATCAAGAGATACCGCAGATTTTGAAACTGCATTTGAAAATTTTTTTCTAAATTTTGGGAATAGTAATAACAATAATAATAACAAAAATAACAGCATTTCTATAGCGCACCATGCTCACCAGCATACTTTTTGCTCTGACCAACTAGATCTATTATCATTTCGCGACCTCAGTGCTTTCTGGCGGTATATCCATTCTTTAAACACTGAAAATGTGACTTCTTCTTAAGCTCTTTTTTTGTTCTGAACGGTTTTCATTGTTACTAAAAATGGAGAGGCGTTTATATGACCTTATGCAATTGTGAGCACCGTAAAACCTTACTAAAAACAAAATTCTGAGGCGAGCTGACAAAATGAGTTACTTCTCGCAATCCACAAATGAAGATATTAGCCAAAAATCGACATTAGGGTAAAAATTGTAGATTTTCTTTTGATGCCACATTCTTTAACTATAACCTGTCTTTTATTATTTCATACCCATATATTGTAAAGACTTCACCTATAAGCGTGATTTTCTTAAGGCTTGAATCCGAGAAGAAATTCATTTTGTCAACACGCTTCACTATCTAAGAATAGTGATAGGACAAGAAAGCACTGAGGTCGCGATTTATCGGTACCTAGACTTACCACCGTAACCGTTGTTCCCCACCAGCAGAAGGCTCGGACAGTCGCGGGATGTACAAACCGGGGCCAGACACGGCCGATGAGCAAGTGTTCCTGGTCTACAAAGGGAAACAACTGGTGGCACACGTGTCCCAGCTGACGGGACCGCAGGCCAAACTGTCGCTCAAGGTCAGTGTGTGTACCAGCGTGTGTGTGTGTGAGCGGTGGACGGTCGTTGACGGAAGCTCTGCTGTGGTCTTTGCCCTCTGCTTCTTTTTGGTGTTTCTATTGTGTTGTAATTCAGTCTTTTTCAGTGGGTGGTTGGTGGGTGCTCTGGTGTGGTTTGCTTCTTCTTTCCTATCAAACATCTATCGTTCTTATCTCCCCTCCTTCTTTTTTATGTTTGTTACTCTCTTGTAACACCTCTAATCTTCTGGCGCTCATATAACCTTATGCAGTTGTGAGTGCCGTAAAACCTCTACTAAACTAAAAGTCTTTTTTCATGTGTTGTGATTCTGTCTATTTCATGTCTTTTTCATGTGTTGTAATTCTGTCTATTTCATGTGTTGTAATTCTGTCTATTTCATGTCTTTTTCATGTGTTGTAATTCTGTCTATTTCATGTGTTGTAATTCTGTCTATTTCATGTCTTTTTCATGTGTTGTAATTCTGTCTATTTCATGTCTTTTTCATGTGTTGTAATTCTGTCTTTTTCATGAGTTGTTTCATGTGTTGTGATTCTGTCTTTTCCATGTGCTGTAATTCTGTTTCGTCCCAGTGGGTGGTTGGCGGGTGCTCTGGTGCGATTTGCTCCTTCTTTCCTATCAAGCATTTATCGTCTAATCTCTCGTCCTTCTTGTCTTTGTATGTTACTTTCTAGTAATACCTTTAATCTTGGGCACTTAAATGACCTATTTGTGTCCTAAAACTCTGGCAAAAACTGCCCCCCCCCCCCAAAAAAAAAAAAAAAAAAAAATGTCATACAGTTCATTCATTCATTCATACATCCAGTGCCAGATCTATGACAGACATCTGCGATCATGGTTCTCCATTCATTCCTTTGCTCGGATGCTCTTAAAAAAGCTACGTTTCCCTGATCTTTCCCCGGAAATAATACATGTATTTCTGTGTGACCTCCCTCATTGGGACGCCTGAATAGACATGAAGGTCTTGAACATCTTGCTCTCACTGGCAAAATTGAAGGCTAACGAGGGAGGGGAAAGCCCAGAGCAACATACTTAAAGAACCTGAACAAATGGGTAATGTGACACACACATATCTCTTTCTGCGTGACTACCACGACATGACATATCTCTTTCTCCGTGTGCCCACCACGACATGACACATATCTCTTTCTCCGTGTGCCCACCACGACATGACACATATCTCTTTCTGTGTGACCACCACGACATGACATATCTCTTTCTGTATGACCACCACGAC